GGAGGGGTCAGTGTACACTGGCCTTCTACAGAGAACCAAACCAAACAAAAGCTTTTGTTTAGCCATTAGGAATCCAAGCTCAAGATTTAACATTGGATGAACTTAGAACCGGAGAAGAGAAAGAGAAAGTAAAATCGGTGAGGAAATCTAAGGATTTTCTTTTCTTTCTTTCTTTCCGATAATATTTAATTCTTTTAGATGTTAGATGATGCTAGGTGAGAGAAATTAAGGCTACTATTTATAGTGCCTTAAAGTCTAGGGTTCCGGTATATTCAAATTGTGAGCGAAAAGTGACGAAGCTCGAGATGACGGTAGCAAATCAAGTGAAATCAGAGAAGGCAGAGGTGAAAACCAATGAGGGATTTTACCTGAGCGATTTAAATTTCATAATCAACTGTTGATGAGAAAAAACCATCAGCTAAGGCTCTATTGTCAAGAGGTCACTGTGTTTGACCTCTAGACATCGAATTCTCATGACGAACTCTGAGAATAACTCCATGCATGCTCCGATTTGATGGAGCATGAAGGAAATTCGTCGATTTTGAAGTTTCATTTTTAAGCTAGGGTTTTGGATTTTAGGCATTTTGAATTTGAGTGATAATGGATGTGGACCGGCTGGATTCGCGGATTAGAGGGCAAAAGGGATGATTTTGTGGTTGATTTGTTAACCTTGCACGGATTAGTGCAAGGTCTTGTGACTGAAGGGGCAAGAGCAGGTGAGGGAATATAGATAAAAAGGGGGCGGCTAGTCAAGGAAGGAATGAATTAGGGTTTGGGTAATAACGTTTGGTCTCCCAGGTTAAAAGTGTAGGAAGAGATCTGGGCCATTGGTTCGTTTGATCAACAACCTTGATAAACTAAGATATAAGAATGAATACATGATTGTTAGTGTGAAAAAAGATAGTCGCTGGATCTCTGTATTTCAACGGTGGAGATGAAGTTATAGCGGGAAGTAAAAGAAAAGAGAAAAACCATAATTAATCACAGACGGTTGATGAGTTGGATCAACGGTCCAGATTTATTTGTTTTGTGAGTGTGGAAGATGGTCTATGTGGCGCAATTGGATTGGCTTAGAGAGGAGGTTATGGATCGCCAACCTGGACTGGTGAGGTTGTTTGGACTGGGTCCGGTGGGGAATTGGGCCAATTGTTTAGATTGGTTTTAATTTGACAAACAATCAATTTGTATTTGATGGGTCTTTGTAATTGTAGCCATTTAGTCCTTTAACCTTTTAAAATTAATTTAAATTAAACTTAATTAATTATAACTAAATGTGATAGAAAATATAATCATTAAATATATTTCTAATTACTGTAATTAACTATTTATTTGTTAAACACATTATTTTCTAAATTATGAAATTACTTTTCGGATTAATTTAAATAATAAATGAGTTAATTAGAAAATCAAAGGTTAATTTGTCAAATTAAGTTTAAAACTCGTATTTCAAAATATAGAGGTTATTTTAATTATTTTAAAATAGTAAGTCTAATATATTTTATAAATATTTAGCACTGAATTATTAATTTAACACTACTAATTACCTATTTATGTTATATTTGTATAAAAATAAGTATTATTGATTAGAAAATATTTTCAATACATATTTCGAATCATTACGTATAAATAATTTAATTTTAAAAGGGAGGGTCAAAATTGGTAGTCAACAACAATCAAACACGGCAAGTCTTACAACATAATATTAAAAAGAGCTAAAATGCATAATTCACCAAGAAAGTACAAGCACGAACAAAGAAGGTCAAGTAGTTGATTATCCAAGAACTGACGTCACAATATATACCAACAAAGACTTAACAAATTGTAACATGAGAACAATCTTAGGTCACATAACACAACGTAATACGGTAGAGTAAAATAAGAAACATGTAAGGAAAATAAGGCAAGTAGGACATGAAGCAGGTAAAAACATCTATCTAATAATAGATAAGGGTGATTTGTGATTATGATGTGTGGTACATCGGGGTAATTCTTGTTGTAAATGTTGTGTTGGAAAGGCTTGATGATTTGAACATGTCATTGTTTTCCTTAATTGACTTCAACTTGTGTTTTACTTGTTTTGGTTAATTTGATGTGTTATCACATGCTTACTCTTTGTTGCCATTTATTGATTAGGCTCTCCGTTGTCAGTTTTATGTTAATATTCTACACATGTTATATGTCTAGTGAGTGTCTTGACTTGAACATCATCATTACTCCATCGAGGTTAGTCTTGATACTTATTAGGTACCGATTGTTGTGTACTCATACCACGTTTCTACACATTTTGTGTGCAGATCTAGGTACCTCGGATCGTGCTGGTCACTAGTGAGTTGAGCCGGATATTGTGGAGACTTCAAGGTATACATGTTGTTCCCCTCGCAGGCCTCAGAGTAACCTTCTATTGATGTTCCTTATTACTATTATTTGTATTCCAAAACAATAATGTATTTTGAGATTTCTAGTATACTCTATGTAGAGTTTATGATCCTGTACTACCGGTTTTAGGAAACGTGACTGCTGATCATTTTTCGACTATGTTATGTCATTTATCAGTTTTTATTTAATAGTTAGATGGTTTTAATATGTTAATCTCATCATGTGTTAGGCTTACCTAGTCCTAGGAACTAGGTGCCATCACAATCCTTAAGGTGGGGTTTTGTGTCGTGACAAGTTGGTATTGGAGCTCTAGGTTCATAGGTTCTACAAGTCATAAGCAAGCTTAGTAGAGTCTTATAAATCGGTACGAAGACGTCTGTACTTATCTTTAAGGGGCTATAGAACTATTAGGAAATTCCACTTCTTTCATTCCTTATCATTCAGATTTATTGATTTCAGAATTTGAGCATTTGTCGTTCTATTCTCTCACAGATGGTGAGGACACAAGCTTTCGTTACTGATGATACAGTCCCCGATGCTGGTGTTGCTCGAGGCCGGAGCAGAGATGCAACACGTGCTGCAACGAGGGGCCGTGCTAGGGTCACGACTACGGAGCCACTAGTAGCTCCAGTTGGGGAGCAGGCACGTGAGGCGCTTGTTGCTACCCTGGACTTCAGGAGACCTTAGCGCATTTTCTGAGCATGTTTGGTACCTTGGCTTAGGCAGTATCAATTATAGTTGCACCAACTACTTCTCAGGCTGGGGGAGGAGCTCAGACTGTCGCCTCCCGTACTCGAGAGCAGCGGGCCCATATTGATTAGGCTCCGGGTGTTATGCCGGTGTAGTCCATGACCACGGTTCAGCTAGAGGTCAGGCCGGTGGCATCAGAGGAGGAGCAAAAGAGGCTTGATAGGTTCAAGAAGTATTTTCCTCCTACTTTAGTGTCGCATCTTCTGAGGATGAACATGGTTTTCTAGACTGGTGTCACCATATTCTGCGCACTATGGGCATAGTAGAGGTGAGCGGGGTCGACCTTACTACTTTCTAGCTGACAGGGTCGCCATATAGGCGGTGGTTGGCTTATGAGGAAAGTAGGCCAACTGGTGCAGCGCCACTTACTTTGGCTCAGTTTACTGATCTATGTTTGAGGGAGTTCATTCCACAGGCCTTCAGGGATGCGTTGCGCACCGAGTTTGAGCAGTTGTGCTAGGGGACTATGAATGTGTCCAAGTATGCTATGAGGTTTAATAAGCTATCTCATCATGAACCTGCTATGGTTTCTACTATTGAGGAGAGAGTCCGCAGATTTATTAAGGGACTCAATTATGGCCTTAGATTTGGGATGGCATGGGAGTTGGAGACTGATACTTCATTCCATCAGGTTGTGGAGATCTCTAGGAGGTTGGAGCGTATCCGTGACTAGGAGAGAGGGGATAGGGAGTCCAAAAGGCAATGAGATTTTGGAGGATTTAGTGGTTATCGCTTTGCAGTTTCAGCTCGTCATGGCAGAGCTTTTATCAGTCGACCGATTTAGTGTGCACTTAAGGTTACTTACAGTGCTCAAGCTATTCAAGGACCTCAGAGTACTCATTTTCGACAGCTATCTTCTAGTGCAACTCCGGCATAGGGTGCCTACAATGGTTATTCTGGCGACTCAATACAAGTAGCCACGCCCACAAGGAGGTTGTTTTGAGTGTGGTAATACTTGGCACATACTGAGGGATTGTCTTAAGCTTTGGAGGAGTGGACCTCCGCAAGCTACTCAGGCTATGGTCATGTGGGTAAAGGACGTCCTAGAAGGGGAGGTCAAGGCCGTTGTTATGCTTTTCCAGGTAAGACTGAGACTAGTCTTGAAAAATCATATCAGATGCTGTCATTACAGGTATTATTTCGGTCTGTCATAGAGATGCATCAATTTTATTTGATATGGGTTCCACTTATTCATATGTGTCATCCTATTTTGCTTCATATTTAGATATGTCCTATTATTCTTTGAGTACTTATGTTTATGTGTCTACACCTGTTGGGGATTCTATTATGGTAGACCGTGTCTATCGTTCTTATTTGGTCATTATCAAGGGTTATGAGACGAGGCTTGACCATTTTGGTACTCAATATGGTAGATTTTGATATTATTTTGGGCATGGATTTGTTGTCACCATATCATGCTATTCTGGATTGTCATGCTAAAACCTTGATATTGGCTATGTCGGGGTTGTCGAGGTTGGAGTAGAGAGCTACATTGGGTCATGTTCCTAGTAGGGTGGTGTCCTTTTTGAAGACACAACGGATGGTTGAGAAGGGGTGTTTCACATACTTAGCCTTTGTGAGAGATGTTAGTGTTGATACTCCTATCGTTATCAGTTCCAGTAATGAGAGACTTTCTAGATGTGTTTCCACCATACCTACCGGACATACCACCCAGTAGAGATATTGATTTTTTTATTAACTTGGTGCCGGACACTCAGCCCATATCTATTCCACCATATCGCATGGCACTAGTGGAGTTGAAGGATTTAAAGGAATTGCATCAAGAGTCTTTTGATAAGGGTTTAATCAGGACGAGTGTCTCGCCTTGGGATGCTCCAGTTCTATTTGTGAAGAAGAAAGACGGTTTTATGATGATGTGTATTGAGTACATGCAGCTTAACAAGGTTACATGCAATAACAAGTACCCACTACCGCATATAAATGATTTGTTCCATCAACTTCAAGGTGCTAAGGCATTCTCAAAGATTGACTTGAGATCGGGGTATCATCAGTTAAAGATTCGGGCTTCTGATATTCCGAAGACAGCTTTTAGGATCCGCTATGGTCACTGCAAGTTTTTGGTGAAGTCTTTTGAACTGACCAATGCCCCAACATCCTTTATGCACTTGATGAACAACGTGTTCCAGCCATATCTTGATTCCTTCGTCATCGCGTTCATTTATGACATATTGGTGTACTCTCACAGCTGGGAGGATCATGAGAAGCACTTGAGGATCGTGCTCAAAACTTTGACGGAGAAGAAGCTATAAGCTAAATTCTCCAAGTGCGAGTTTTGGCTTAATTCAGTGGCATTCTCGGTCCATGTGATGTCTAGTGAGGGGATTAAGGTGGATAAAGAGAAGATTAAGGCAGTTCAGAGTTTGCCCAGGCCTTCTACTGCTACTGAGATTCGAAGTTTTCTACGGTTGGCTGGATATTATTGTTCTTTTTAGAGGGGTTTTCATCAATCACAACTCCTTTGACTTGATTTACTCGGAAGGGCGGCTCATTCAGGTAGTTTGACGAGTGTGAGGAGAGCTTTCAAAAGATCAAGACTACATTGACTACAGTTCCAGTTTTGATTTTGCCTTCAGCATCGGGTTCTTACATAGTCTATTGTGATGCTTCACGGATTGGCATAGGGTATGTGTTGATGTGGGAGGGTAGAGTGATTGCTTATGCTTCACATCAGTTGAATCCCCATGAGAAGAACTACTGAGTGCACGATTTGGTATTGGCAGCCATTGTTCACGCACTTAAGATTTGGAGGTACTATCTCTACGGCGTGTCATGGGAGCTGTTCACAGATCACATGAGTCTACAAGACTTATTCAAGCAAAGGGATCTGAACTTGAGGCAACAAAGGTGGTTAGAGCTACTAAAGGACTATGATATCACCATTCTTTATCATCCCGGGATGGCCAATGTGGTGGCCGATGCTTTGAGTAGGAAGTCCGTGAGCATGGGAAGTCTTACTTTTATTCTAGTTGGGGAGAGACCCTTAGCTTTGTATGTTCAGGCTTTGGCCAACAGATTCATGTGGTTAGATGTTTCGGAGCTAGCCGGGTTCTTACTTGCATGGTTTCATGGTGTACTTTGTATAAGCGCATCAAGGTGAGCCAGTGTGATGATCTTCACTTGCTTGTCCTTAAGGACACAGTACAGTACGGTGATGCCAAGGAGGTGACTATTGGTGATGATGGATTATTGAGGCATCAGGGCCAGATTTGTGTGCCCTATGTTGATGGGTTACAAGAATTGATTCTTGAGGAGGCCTATAGCTCGTGGTATTCCATTCATCTGGGCACCACGAAGATATACCATGATTTGAAACAACACTACTAGTGGAGAAGATTGAAGAATGATATGTTGGATTATGTGGCTCGGTGTATAAATTGTCAACTGGTTAAGCACGAGCATCAAAGACCAGGTGGTTTGCTCTAGAGGCTTGATATTCCGGATTGGAAGTGGAAGCGTATCACTATAGATTTTGTAGTTAGACTTTCACAGACCTTGAAGAATTTTGATATAGTGTGGGTCATTATGGATAGTCTGACCAAGTCTGCACACTTCATTCTAGTCATGACTACCTACTCTTCAGAGCAACTAGCTTGAATTTATCTTTATGAGATTGTTCTCCTTCATGGTGTGCCAGTGTATATTATCTCGGATAGTTATGCAGTATGGGTTGGGCACACAGGTCGAGTTGAGTACGACATTTCATCCACAATGGATGGGCAGTTCGTGCGCACTATTTAGATCTTGAGGGACATGTTACGTACCTGTGTTATTCATTATGGGGGCTCATAGGATCAGTTTCTGCCGCTAGCAGAGTTCGCCTACAACAGTGCTATCAGTCGAGAATCCAGATGGCTCCATACAAGGCCTTATATGGGAGGCAATGTTGTTCTCCGGTTGGTTAGTTTGAGCCTGGGGAGGGTAGGTTGTTGGGCACCAATTTGGTTCGAGATGCCTTGGAGAAGGTGAAGTTGATTTAGGATCAACTTCGTATAGTTCAGTCCAGGCGAAAGAGTTATATTTATCAGAGGGCTCGTGATGTACAATTCATGTTGGGTCAGAGGATCCTACTCAGAGTTTCACCCATGATGGGTGTGATGATTTTCAGGAAGAAGGGCAAGTTGCACCCTCGGTATATTGGTCCTTTTGAGATTCTTGAGAGAGTCGGTGAGGTGGCCTACAAACTTACATTGCGACCCAGCTTATCGGGAGTGCACTCGGTGTTTCATGTTCCATGCTCCGGAAGTATTATGGTGATCTATCCCATGTGTTAGATTTTATCTTAGTGCAATTGGACAAGGATTTGATCTATGTTGAAGAGTCAATGGCTATTTTGGACAGACATGTACGGAAATTGAGGTTGAAGAATATTGTATCGGTGAAGGTTCAATGGAGAGGTCAACCGGTTGAGGAAGCGACTTGGGAGATCGAGCATGATATGCGGAGCCGTTATCCTCATCATTTTGGCACTTCAGGTATGTCTCTATACTCGTTTGAGGACGAACATTTATTTAAAAAAGGGAAAATATAACGACCCAACTGGTTGTTTTTTGTATTTGAGCCGTGTTTCCCCTTTTTAAGCTTCCCATATGTTTATTTGTGGTTTTATAACTTACATGGATAGGTGGTTTCATTTCGGGGAAATTTTGGATTGACTGGTTCTTAGTTTGAAAGCTAAGTTGGAAATATTGAACGAGGTTTTATATTTGTGTAAACGATCCCGAAACGGTATTTTGATGGTTCCAATAGGTTCGTATGGTGATTTTGGACTTAGGCATATACTCAGAATTGGATTCGAAGGTTTCTAGGTTGAATTGCCTCTTTTTGCCGAAAGTTGGTAATTTGAAGGTTTAGAAAATTTCTAAGTTTGACCGTATGTTGCATTTATGGCGATCGGGTTTGGATTTTAATTTTTGGGAATTGGAATACGTCCATATTTTCATTTGGGACTTGTCTGCAATGTTTGGCGTCATTCTGAATTGGTTTGATAGGAATCAGACACATGGTTGTGATTTTAGCGATTTTTGAGTTCATTATGAATTCTATGTCTTTTGGTGGTTGATTCGTGGTTCTGGATGTTAATATTGTGTTTTGAGCGTGTGAGCGAGTTCGCATGATATTTTTGACTTGTGGAAATGTTTAGTGTGGAGGTGTGAGGGCTCGGGTAAGTTTCAGACGTATTTCAGATTGGTTTGGACTTGGTTCAGGACTGTTGGTGCTGGTGCTGGTGCTGCTACTATCACAATTGCGAGCACTAGTTTGCAATTGCGAATAAGTCAAGGGGGTGTCAGGCGTCTCGAATGTGATGCCTTGATTGCAATTACAAATGTGGGTCATTTCCTGGGCTAGTCGCCTTTGCGAAATTTTGGTCGCTTTTGCGACCTAGGCAGTCATCCAAAGGGGATGTCTGAGTTGCATTTGTGACATTCCCTTGGCTTGTCAGACAGTGCAATTGCGATCCTTTGGTCGCATAGGGCTGCAATTGCGAACCTGGGTCGTATTTGTGGCTTCTGCAGCTGAACAAAAGGTTGGGATTTCGGGACTTAGTCTCATTTATCGTATTTTGTAGCCCCAAACTCGCTCGGAGGCGATTTTAGGAGGAGATTATCATACAAAGCTATTGGGTAAGTTATTTTGACTCAATTTTGATTATATAACATGATTATTTATGAATTTTAACATCTAAGTCATGAGAATTTAAGAGAATTGTTTTGGTATTTTGTCTATGTTTTGAAAAATAAAAATTTGAGATTTGAGAGTAGAATTGGACTCAAATTTAGATACCAAATACATATACGGACTCGTGGGGTTATGGGTGGTTGAAATCAATCCTTGGACTCTGGTTTTGAACGGGCAGGCCGGGGGTTGAATTTTGTTGACTTTTGGGGAATTGTGTAAAAATCGTAACTTTATTAATTGAAATTGATTTTTCTTGCATTGTTTGATATTATTAAGCCATTTTTGGCTAGATCTGAGCAGAGCGAATGTGAATTTTACAGGAAAAGCATTTTTGGAATATTGAATTTTCGTAATTGAGGTAAGTATCTTGCCTATAATTGTATGGGAAAAATTACCTCTACAGATTTGGTCTATTTGTACTATGTGAAATAATGTGTAGATAAGGTGACGAGTGTGTACATGGGTGTATGTATGGTAATCGATCGGATTAGACCTTAGGCTATTAATATGCCTTGAATTGGAGTTTGTTTGTTACATGAAGCAATTTTATTGCTGTTCATTCCCTGTACCCTTGTATTATTATTGTTATTCTTGTACATATTGTTGTTGAGTTGTGGGCTATATATTGTTGTGGCTTTGGTATAACTGATTGGGCGATGTTGTGGCATATGTGCACGTATGGTGCGAGTTGATTGTTGTGTTGTAAATGAGATATGCATGCGGCGACATAAGGGTGGTGTGTATATTGATGTGCATGCGGCAAGATAAGGGGGCTTATGTGCGTGTTGCTAGTAAGGGGAAATACTTCATTGTGATACACATGCGGCGAGTTAATGGGACATTGTGCTTCAAGCTATTTAGGGAAAAATATTTTAAGTGTGAAGCTCACATAGCGCCATAAGGGTAAATTATGATTATGATGTGTGGTACATCGGGGTGATTCTTATTGTAAATCTTTTGTTGGAACGGCTTTATGATTTGAATATGTCATTGTTTTCCTTAATTGACTCACTTCATGTTTTACTTATTTTGGTTAATTTGATGTGTTATCTCATGCTTACTCCTTATTTCCATTTATCGATTATGCTCTTTGTTGTTAATTTTATGTTGATATTACACACAGGTTATGTCTAGTGAGTATCTTGACTTGAACCTCGTCACTACTCCACCGAGGTTAGTTTTGATACTTACTGGGTACCAATTGTGGTATACGTATACTACTCATTTGTACATTTTTGTGCAGATCCGGTATCTCGGATCATGCTGGTCACTAGTGAGTTGAGCCGGATATTACGGAGACTTCAAGGTATACATGTTATTTCACTCGCAGGCCTCAGAGTCACCTTTTATTGGTGTTCCTTATTATTGTTATTTGTATTCCAAAACAGTAATGTATTTTGAGTATCTTGACTTGAACCTCATCACTATGTGATTTGTTTTGAGATCCAGCCTTAATTCAAAGTATAAATCTCAAAATTAAAAAACATCTAAATTTACACCCAAGAACCCTATGAAATCTTAGGTTTAATAGTGAAAATCTATTGAAAAGTAATGGAAATGGAACAAAAACAAG